CATCCAACAATAGTGCTGGAGCTAAAGTGAGCTGGAGGAGTTATAAAGTGGCAGCTTAGACCCAATAGCTGGGGGATCGATGCAGGAGCCTGTTGCCGTGTGTTGAAGGGAGCTGGCGCTCTGGCGATCTGTCTTGGATCCCCTCTGTGGCTCCTCACCAGGGCTGGAATTCCATTGGGCCATTTCATTTTTCAAACTTCAAAGCAGAAAGAAATATAAAAGCACCTCTATTAGTGACTCTGCCAGATAAAAGTTCTGTGCCATATTTCTCATCCTGATTCCTTCATTCTGAACCTTTAACCCCTTAGACAAACTCTCCTGCCTTCCTTCCCACCGTGTGGTCCCCATGCTATGCTATCTGCTTTTGCCTCAACCTTCCAGAACTTTACATGAACAGGATGCTGTACAAATTGCCATCTAATGTACCACATATCTGAATTGCTGTGCCCTCTGAGTGGGTACAGCTTTCCATTTAAAAATGATATTGAGCCAGGCGGTGGTGGCGCATGCCTTTAATCCCAGCACTCGGGAGGCAGAACCAGGCTGATCTCTGTGAGTTCGAGGCCAGCCCGGGCTACAAGTGAGTTCCAGGAAAGGCGCAAAGCTACACAAGAGAAACCCTGTCTCAAAATAATAATAACCAAAAAAAAAAGGATATTGAAATAGCATTTTGAAAAAAATGTAGGAGCCTGGAGAGATGGCTCAGAGGTTAAGAACACTGGCTGTTCTTCCAGAGGTCCTGAGTTCAATTCCAGCACCCACATGGTGACTCACAACCATCTGTAATAAGATCCGGCTCAATCTTCTGGCTTGCAAGGATACATGCAAACAGATCCCTGTATATAATAAATAAATAAATTTAAAAAAGCAAAAGAAAAAGAAAAAAATTTAGGAATTGATCTGTGAGGCCCAACCTACTGTTTTCCATGTAGGTCTCCCTGTCCATCTTTTCCTTGCAGCTTTTGATGCAAGGGTTCAGGGCTCACCTGGGGTGGGCAGGCAGCAGCAGCAGCAGCACAGTGCTCTCAATGCATGGGAAATTCAATTCCTCACCACTTTCCAGACCCTGAATGGCCTGGATCCAGATGTCGTGGGTGTCACCTGGGGCTGTCCACTGGGAATGTCTGGCTCAGGTAGATCCTGAGAGCTCATATAGCTTCAGACTTCTCTCCTCCAGGGGTCAAACATTCTGAATGCCATTTTATAGAAATTATGTTGTTATTCTAATTAAGTGCATCAGTATTTGTTTGAAAATTGTCTCTGTCTAATACCAGTTAAAGATGG